AGTGATGCTATGATCCTACTGACCTCTTTTGGCGGGATATAAAGTTTGAGGTGTACAACCAAATTGACATAAAATGGTGTAATTTATGAATTTTGGTCTCATAACCAAGAACAGAGGCAAAGGCCATCTCTCTCATTGTTATAAAAGGTCTCTACTATTTACTGTCTATGCTGATTCTGCCAATCTTTACTCTGATAGAGAATTTGGAGGCTTTTAATTAATGGTTTTAAGATTCACTTTATAGTAAATATTTAAGATATCCCAGAGGAAACAGCAGATAGTGCCCCGCCCTTATGCCTTCATCCTTCACCATTTCCAGGGAGGATAGTGCTACTTCCAATTGCCAGCAATTAGGATTCTACCTGAATACTTTCTCTGGTACTCAAGAACTACTCTGCCTGCACAGGGGCCATTCCAGAAGATACTGGGGAATTCCTTCTCTCAGCGTAACCCTCAATCAATGATTGACAGAAGATGGTAAATACTCTTGGTTCCCATGCCCCTTGAATGGGATGACTCTAAAATATGTTCTTGGCAACCTCTTTAAGGACCCAGAGTGGTAACTTGCTTGATACACATGTTTTATAGCTGCCCTCTTTCCTGCCTCATTTTCCCTCTCCCCTATAATCTCTGTAATGAACTACTCACATCTAAATCCTTATTTCCATCCTAAGTTTGCTTCTGAGCAAACCCAAATTAAGACAAGGGGATATAAACACAATAGGGGTTTTACTCTTCAGGAACTTATCCTAACACAGGAGACCATTAATAAGCAATAAAAACAATAACTAAGAGGAGAAATACACAGCATTACACTGTTAAACAGAGGTGTGCAGGTCCAGGTAAAGATAATACTCAGTAGTCTAATGGTCCTTGGCACCATTGCAACATTGGCTAATGGTCCTTCCTGTAATTCTCAACTTTACCCTCACTGGGTAAAGCAGCAAGACTATCTCTAATAAATAGTCATCTAGTCTATGAAGCCATCTAACCTTGCTACCATCGCCAATATTCCAATAATTACTGACTACTAGACAGGAGCCAAAGGGTAATAAAGAGGGCAGAAATATAAGCTTCATTCAATTCCATGACAGCTAAGAACAAAAGAAACAAAAACTAGAAGGATAATATAATTATTCTACCTGACCAGTAAATTCAAACCATAGCTGCTATAAAATGAAATTTATCATTACCTCAACCTTTCTGACAATCCTGGAACCTCCTAAGGCAATGCTATGAAGAACAAAATTAAATCAATGTTCTGACCATCACTGGCCATTAGTTTCTGACATAAAAGGTCACTGTGAGGTGGTCATTTGCAATGCAACAGTTAACAATCAGATACTACTACAGAGCATTTTTAAAATAGGTAACATCTTGTGGAACCACCAGGCTGATAACTCAGATTAGATGATCAGGGAAGGACTGACTTGTAAGGATGAGGTGCATTTCAGGGAGCAACTGGCACAAAGGCACCTGGCATGTTCAGGCAACTGCAACATTAATCAAAACTTCTCTTTTCACTAAGTCAACTTACTGCTTAGTACTTCCTGCTTAGATGACTTATCTTTGATCTACTGGGTTCAGAAGTGACCAAAATATAGTCATATTGAAAATCAAGCAGTATCAACAAGATAGGCAGAAGCAAGACCACAGTGGGCTTTATAAGCAGTTTAAATTTTACTACAGATGCTGATTTAAGAGGCTCTGATAGCATTTAAAGAAAAGGGCAACAAGACCCCTGTTTTCAGAATAGAATGTAGGACAAAGTAGAAGTAGGGTGACCAGTTTCATGATCACTATAGATCCTAGTGAGCGATACTAGTAATGGGAGTAAATATATTCTGAACGCATCAGGGTTTTTCTGGGCACAAGAAACCAAACACAGGACCTAAGATGCTTTAACAAGGAAATTTATAAGCTTATTTTACAGGAAACTTAGTCCTACAGAAGGCTCAATGACATTACCAGAGAATCACATTCTTCCAGACCAATCATCTTCACCCTCAAACTGAAGTGGTTGTTAAATGACTGCCACTAGCATTTGAGAGTTGATGCTCCCATATTTATATGTGGAGAGGTTGGCTTCATGTGACTATTTTATGAAGCAGGATTGCTCTTTGCCAGATGCTCCCTAACCCCTTGTTTCCTTAATCCAAACTTATTTGAAGTTATCTAGCCAATCACGCAAGGGAAATGGAATTAATAGGATTAAAGATTAAACAGAGCTCACCCTGAGCTGTAAATAACGTTGGCTTGCCGTGAATCACCTGGCCTATGTGAAATAAGGATGGAGAACTGAGGGGGAAAAATTAGCATATGTTAGGAAAGAGGAAGGGGGGATGGATGCTGAGTATGCAAGCAGTGCTATCAACTACATGAAATATGCTTTGGAGGGAGAGTTGACAGGGCTTGGCAACAGATTGGATACAGAAGGAACAAAGGGTTCAAGGACACTATTTTTGGCTTTAACAACTGGATAGAAAACGTGCATTATTTACTAAGATGGGGAAGACAGGGGGAAAGGTCAGGTTTGAGGATAATCAAAACTTCTCTTTTCACTAAGTCAGCTTTAAGACACTCAGACATTGAAGAGAAAATAAGGTTATTAGTTTAATATATAGGTTTGGAGTTTGTGTATAATTTGAAATCCTACACATGAAATTTTTTTGTTTAGAAGAACTGAGACCGAAAAAACATATCGATAGAAGATGAAGTACACTCAGGAGTCTAGCAGACCCAAGCCAAGAGAAGCCAATAAAGTAGCTAGAAAATCCGAGAACAATCCCCAGCATCATATATGTGGGTAGACTGAAGGTGCTGCAAATTGTCAGTTCTTTGTCAAAATGGTGGGATATATTCCCTCTTTCAACTTGGAAAGTGTGGACAGAAAGGATTTGGATGCTTTTAAAAATACAACACATATCATAAAAGGCATTATCAGTAGTTGGAACATTATTATAGTCCTTTAAATATCTAGTGGGAAAAAGATAAAGGGACATGGCATCTCATAGCAATTCTAAACCGAGGCCTAATGAAAACTGCTGACCACCATTATATCTACATGTTTGTTTCAAATGGAACTGAGCTATCAAATTAGGAAGTGATTATGAAAAATTACAGGGGAATAAAAGGGAGTCATCACTAACAAACATTTATGCCTTTATCAATAAAACCATTTCATGTCTCCACATACGCATTCAATTAAAACTGAAGGAGCACTTGTATAGAAGAAACTATATTAGGTGCTGTTGAAAAAGAAATCCAGCGTCAAACAGAATAGTGTCTATATTTGAAGAGCTTTTCACCACTTCCCAGTTGACTGACAATGAACAAATTACTTAGCCTCCTGGTGCTTCTGTTTCTTCACTTGTGAAATGCAGATGGCTCGGGATTGTTGTGAAGACTCAGACATATAGCTGAGTCATAGCTTAAAATGATGTCTAGTATGCAGTAAGAGCCATAAAAGCTTCATTACTAAGAGGAGGTAAGGAACCATCCATATGAGCAGTAGCATGGTTCAGTAAAGAAAGAAAAAGTAAAGAACATTTATTGGTCACCACTACTATATTAATCATCATTTCCTTAATGTTCAGTTCAACCCCCCTGGGACTCTGTTTCCTAGACCCGAAAAACTGTTCCCAGGTAACTCTGAAACTTCCTTAATAGTAGACCACTAATAGTGGCCAAATTATGAATGAATCAAACCCCAAACATTCACTAGAACACATGCACTTTTTGAAATATCGTGAAGGAAACATGGACTCTAGCTCTGTATCTTCCACCTTTAGCTATTGCAATCCTGGTTCCCTTTACTTCCATACTATGAAATTGTTTTCTATTTGATAAAATGTTTACAGTAGACAGGCCCCTCCTGCCTGCTTCACAGGGTGGGGCACGGTCAAGATCAAAAAGAAAAAAGAAACCTATAAATTATAAAATTCCATAAAAATAACACTTCAAGGGATAACTTGTATTTCAGGTCCCTAGCTCCTAATTCTACATTATGCTACATAAATTTTATGTACACTTGAAATAACTCTACAGTGCTTACGATTCTACTTATTGAGTAAAACATTTACGTTCAAAAATATTCCTAACAAAAACTACATATTAGTTCCATTTTAAGTCATCAGAAAGAATATTTGCAAACCATATTAAATCTCCTATTCATTAAAGTTGATGTGGCAGGGTGGCTCCTGTGGCTCAAAGGAGTAGGGCGTTGGCCCCATATGCCAGAGGTGGTGGGTTCAAACCCAGCCCCGGCCAAAAACTGCAAAAAAAAAAAAAAGTAGATGTGGCAAGAGCTATCCTTTGCAGAATTTTAATTATACTAAATTAATGTACTAGGAATATATACTTGTTGATAAAGTATCCTGAGCCCACTTTATTAATTTTAACAGAAGACAAAGTTCTTAGGACTGTGACCAAATTACTTCACACTTTAAGTACTAGTAATACACTAACAACCATTAATAAGATTATTAATGGCTCAGGAACTAAGTAAATTACAGCAATTTAAAATGATTAATATTTTAAAAACACAGGTTTTGAAGGGTCAAGGTACAAATGTCAGCAAATGTTGCCTAAATTATCAAAACACAGATGAGATTAAGGTTCAATGTAATGTAAAAGCAGTACTTTATAACACAGAATATTTAATTAATGTGGTTTAAGAAAGTACTGAGGTGGGAGTCAAATGAATTCTAGCCCCAGATCGTTTAACCTGAGCCTGTTAACATCAAAAAAAGAAGTCTCTGAAAAATCATGACAAGAAAACTGCTTGGGGTGGGGTGGGGGTGGGTGGAGGTGAAGATGTGTACATTTACACCTGACAGGTACAATGCATGCTATACGGCCAAAGGGCACACCTGTAACTTTGACTCAAATGGCACAAAAGGATTATATGTAACCAAAATATCTGCACCTCGTAATATTTTGAAAATTAAAAAAAGAAAATTAACAATTAGAGGTAAAAGATCAAGACTTCTGAACCAAACCAAGATTAGACCAAAACATTTATTTTTGTTACAAAAACAAAAATAAATCAAATAATGAAATAAACATATATTTTTTAAGTTTCATTCTTGGTTTTCTATCCTAGAATTTAATAAACAGTTCAAATTTAGGTTACTTCAACACTTCTGGATGCTATGAAGTCTCCATCTTATAACCGTGTTTCTCTAGTTCAGCTCTACAATAAAACACAAAAAATAATATCACTAGACATTCTTTAAAACAGATTTCTCATAGAAATAATACAATTAATAAATGAGCGAAGCCTGAGGCAACATTATAAAATACTAATGAACAGCTTTATTTTAGTCCCTAAAAAGAAATCTAAGGGAAAATTAGATGAGCCTATAAAATACCAACAAAATTTTGTTTTTTCCATTAGTTATATTCCGTTTTTAATTTTCTTAAAAATTTATTTACCAAAAAAGTGAGGGATTTACAGCTATCCCCCAAATATACAAACATTCTGTTCCTAATAAATATCTAAACATAAATTTTGAGACATTAACTATCATAATAGATATTACTGTCATATACACAAAAAGAATAAAGAGATAGCACGCCACATTGACATCTCTCTCTCTAAACAAGAAACCATTATGAATTAAATTTAAAGGTGTGTGAAAGTTTTCTGCATTAACTATACTGGCAAAATGAATACAATAAAAATCATAGAATATTAAAGAAGGCTTTACTTTCCTAATTTTCAATGTGGATGAAAATCTCAAAATTTTATAATTTACATATTATGTAAATTTTATATTTTACATAAAAAGACACTTTTCATTATTTGAAATAATTTATTCGCCTTTTAAGGTTCAGTCACATTTTGAGAATGTCAACTGCAAATGTTGATCTGTCTTTTATAAAGCATTTGTACAAAGAAGTTTAGCCTTCTAATCAACTCCAACTTTTTAAACTCTCATTCCAAATAGCACCAGTAACTGTACAATCATAATTCAGATGTTACAGAACTTTATGACAAAATTATCAGAAGGCCAATCTATGATAAAACATCAAATAAATGTAAATTATGGTTATATGCTCTATATCATTACCTCCAATAAAATATATTTGTTCTGAAGTATAATTTGGTTTTGACACCTATCACAATATCCAATGCAAACACAATGCAAAAAACACATGATAGGAATGATATATAATATTTATTATTCATTTCCCCAAATTCCTTTGCTTTCCTAAATTTTTTATAGTGCTCTATATTGCAGATACCTACCTAATTTCCATGAGTTATATCAAGGACAAAGTCAAATAAATCATAACATTCTGGAAGGGTGCAGTATGGACCGGTAATATAAACAATGGATTAGGAGTCAAGAGTCCAGCTTAAGCCTCTAACTCTGGCCTTTCCTTTGCTAACTAAATTGCTTCTTTTGGGTTCTTCCTTCTCCTTTCATCAGGAAACTGAAGATTATAATAATTGTCCTTCATATGTAACAACTTCTATCCTTTCAAGATTAGATAAGGGAAAGTTATACAAATAGCATGTAGCACACATTAATGTAGAATGCTAGAACCCAAGTTTGAAGGTGCTGTGAGCTAAGATGCCATGACACTCTAGCCTGATGCAACAGAGTGAGACTCTTCCTCAAAAAAACAAAACAAAACATATACTTACCACAGTCTAAGCACTTTACACATATTAACTCATCTAATCCTTGTAACAGCTCTGGGAGTAAAGTTCTAATTATCTGAATTTTATAGATGAGAAAAGTAAGTCAAAACAAATGACCTGCCCAAGGTTGGTATGCCTAAATAAGAGGCAACTCTGGGTCAGGAACACAGGCAGCTTGATTGACTCTACTCTAAGCAGACTCTCCAAAGTTAGATGGGATTAGGACCCAACAACGACACAAAATAATAAAGCATGCTCTTTCTGTGACACATTAAGGGTCATTTCACAGAACAACTAGGAAGAACTTTTTTGCAGTAGACTTACTGAGAAACATTTTTATTTTTAAAAGGAAGGATTTCTGAGTCTGTGCTATTCAATAGTCATAAGTGGCTATTTAAATTAAGTAAAAAATTCAGCTCCCCAGATGCTCTAGCCATATTTTACAGGCTCAACAGCCACATGTGATTAATGGCTGTATTTTGTATTGCACAGTGCAGCTTATAGGACAGTTCCATCACTACAGTCAGTTCTATTTGACAGCACTGGCAACATATCAACAACCTAACCTTAGTGGGTAAAATTTATGACTCAAATCAGAAAATAAAAGAAAATCCTTACTCACCAATGAAGTTATCAAGATTTAAATACATACAAATCCATCAATCTACAGGCAGAAACATTAACAAAGAACATAAGAACACTGTGAAGGTCTATCAGAAGAACAATAAGCCACAAAGGATAATGTGCTATTTCTAAACCAGTAAAAAGGTTGGATGTACATGTAATCGTGATGAGAAATACAATTATGAATTTATTTACTACTAAAAGTCTTCTGATAAAAATCAATTTTTTGGTCATTTTTTCTTTTGAGACAGTCTCACTATGTCGCCCTCAGTAGAGTGTTGTGACATCACAGCTCATAGCAACCTCATGCGCTTATTAAGCAATTCTCTTGCCTCAGCCTCCCAAGTAGCAGGGACTACAGGCACCTGCCACAACAGCCAGCTATTTTGTTGGAGTTGTTTAACTGGCCTGGGCTGAGTTCAAACCTGGCACCCTTGGTGTTTGTGGCTGGCACCATAACCACCATGTTATGGGCACCGAGCCAAAAAATCAATTTTTGGTTGATTTTTAAGATAAAAGTACCAACGAAAGACACAAAAGAAATGAAAATTATGCAGTAATTTGACTCTTGAATGGCAAAATAAGAACACTTATTTAGCCTCAACTTTAAAATGTCAAGAAGATATTAAGGAAAAAAACCTGACATAATATTAAGAACATGATGTAGAGATCAACAACTTTGATAGGTCTGAAAATAAATATTCTAACAGCATAAGATATAATATAATTAATTCCAATGAAAAATAAAAGGGAATGCATATTATTAAACAGGTGGCAAGGTGTTCTCTGATGTGCCTCAGTTTTTAAAGGATATAACCAAAACAAATGCAAAAAGAAAGTACACATATGTGTACACATAGAATCTCATCTGAGAACAACTGAGATCGGTAAAAACAAAAAGGGCTTTCTTTTGAAAGCTATATAGCGATTGAAAAGAATGAGAAGAAAGAGCTCCAAGAGCTTGGAGTAGATGATATAATACTAACAGATTTTAGAGAAAAAGGAGGATTACTGTTCAATAGCTATGGTTCTTATCTTGTCCATTACAGTATAACAGGAACATCATTATTAAGGCAAAATGGAAAACTAAGGGGAGATAATTCTAAACTGTCAAAGCAGTTTAAAGTCTCATAACTCTGAACAATTACATCTCAGGGTACAGGAAGAATAAAAAAATATAGTCAAAAATCAAAGTCAGCAATCACTGAGAAATGGAAATGCCGAACTATGAAGGACCAGAGTAATGGTAAAAGTACTATTGCATTATTTCTAAAAAGTAAAGAAAGTAGATGGGAAAAATCATTACCAATCGCCAGCAAAATGCTAAGAAGTCTTTAGAATGTAGGTTTTAAGCTTGTTTTAAAAATATGCAGTGTTTAATAATGTAAAGGACATTGGAAACTAAGAAGGGGGGAGATTGGGAATGGGAAAATGACAAAAACTTATTTGCCTATTGGGTACAATGAACACTGTCCAGGTGGCTAGCACACTGAAATCCCTGATGTCAGCATTATACAGTCTACCCATTTTAACAAAAACATATGTATCAAACATATGTATAGTGCACCCATTAAAAAGAATTAGTTTATTAATTTTAAAATAATTTGTAAAAATGCATTGTGGAAATAGGTGGTACTGTACCACTATCAAAAATAATTTTTTTAATTATTATAAATTATCTCACTTCATTTTTGAACAAGTATACTAGAGTAATAAATTAGAACTATAAAATAGACCTTCTGTGCCTTGATTTGAACAAAGTAGGTGGCAGTCTGCTTAACTATCCTGTGGCCAAGACAGATAAATATGAGCTAAATAAATCAAAATCAAATTAGAGGAAAGAAATCGCTTCAACAAACAGTGTTGGGACAACCAGACATCTACAAGTAAAAGAATGAGTTGCACTATTTCACACTATATATACACACATAAATAAAGATCAGTCATTAGGGAAATGCACATAAAAACAATAGTGAGATAACACTTTTCATCCTTCAGAAAGGATAATTATAAAAAAAAAAAAAGAAGAAGAAAAAGACGTTTTGGTGAGAATGTGGAGAGACTAGAGCCTTCATACATTGTCAGTAGGAACAGAAAATTATTTAGCCACTGTAGAAAACAATTTGGCAGTTCCTCAGAAAGTTAAATATAGAATTACCATATGACTCAACAATTTTATTTAGGTATATAATAAAAAGAATTAAAAACAAGTACTCAAATACATGTACATATATATTCATAGAAGCATCATTTTGCAACAGCCAAAATGTGTAAACAGGCTTAATATCAAATGATGAATGGATAAATAAAATATGGCATCCATATAACTATCATTTAGCCATAAAAAAGAATAAAGCATTGATAAATGCCACAATATGGATGAACCACAGATGCTAAGTCAAAGCTAGACACACAAGGTCACACATTGTATCATCACATTTATATATAAAACATCTAGAATAGGCAAATCCATAGACAAAGAGCAGATAAACTGTTGCCAGGGGATAGGGGAAGGGGGAATGCACAATGACTGCTTAATGGGTATAGTTTCTTTCTGGGGTGCTAAAAATATTGGAACTAAATAGAAATAATAGTTGCACAGTATTGAGAATGTGCTAGATATCGCTGAATTGTACACTTAAAAATGATTAATTTTACATTATATAAATCTCACCTCAATAAATAAAATTAGGTAGATCTGGACATGAACATAAAATGTACACTTCTACAACCCCAATATTCATTCACCCCAATTTCAAAATCACCAATCTACTGGGCCCCAGCACTCTATGATTCTATTTCTTGCTGAGTTATTCCATATTGGCAGAAAATTAATGTTTACAGAATTAAACCCACAAGGATAAAAAACAGCAAATATTCTATTATTACATTTGTGAGACTAAAATGAACAAAAAATTATATGCAATTACACAAAGTATTCATGTTCAGAAACACAGGAAATAAAAACAATGTATCTTATGCTGCATAACTGAAAAATCTATTTAAAATATATTAAGTAACTTTTAGAGGTCAATAATTTTTATAATCATGAAATGTATAATTGACAGTGAACTACAATAGCAATCTCACTCAACACTTACCGTAACTGATTGGAGAAGTCATCTTCTACATTGTCATCATCCCAATTATCCTCCCAGACATGTGCATCTTCATCTTCATCTAAGCCAGCCCAGTCTAGAAACAGAAATAGATGGTATCTAAAAATTTCTCAGACATTATTTCCACAATTACAGAAACTTTAGAAAGTTTGCTACTTAACACTCTCACAATCCAAAAACAGCTAATAAGGTATCAGTGAGAAATGGCAATCTTCTTCCTTAAATCTTGAAGTTTATACTGGCTTCTCACAATTCTTGAATTTGCATACTATCTAAAAGAGAAAACAAAAATTCTACTTGCCATGAAAATTTATTCACTTCACTGCTTTTTCTTGGAGCTCACTTTTATAAGTTCTATTTCCTAATCTTTCAAAACACAGCAACAACAATCCTAAAGCAAGTTGAGTAGCAAGAAGACACAGCATGGAATTCAAACCCGCTAAACATTAAGGATAATTCATATAGACCAAACACAGACCAAATTATAAGCCATCACTAGTATTTGTCCTGTATCATCAATATAAACATTTAAATTTTTAAACAAAGGCTGAATATAAATACATGTAAAGAGAAATGTTATAAGTAGTTTACAGTTTTCTAAATTTTCTTCTTTCTTTTTGGTAGTGGTAGAGGGGAGGTTCAGAGTGAGACTCCAGCTTTTATTTAAGAGCATTTGGAAAATACATACGTATTACCATTATCTCCCAGCTCAAACCTCAAGCTTTAATTAAATATGCTATCTGGGTTGAGCCAAGAAAAAGAAATTGTCAAAATTAAGTATCTGTTTTATGAATATTTTAAGGCGTCTTCATGAAGATATCTAATGGAGTTTAATGTTCCCAAAAAATCATCTGAATAAAGACTAGATACTATGTTCTTAAGTAAAGAGTTTGACTTAACTCAAGATACAATGTTTTAAGGTTCAAAGATAACAAGCAGCCCTCTAGTTAGCCTGAACCACTTCCAACTAATCAGCTTTCTAAAGTGATAAGTAGGTAGTTTCCATCTATATTGGTTCCTAAAAGGAAATGATCATGTGTCAAAAGATTCAGGCTAGAAATATAAAATAATAAGAGTATTTACTTGATACTTTTCTGCTAACCTTCTAAGTCTTTGAAAAATATGGTAGAGCCTTAATTGTCTTTTAAAGTAATTGTCTTTTCAGGAACAGCAAAATTATAGGCCCCCAGAAACTTTTTATCTAATTATGATTTGATTCAAAATGTTGATTTCAATAGTTATTACTTGATGTCATTCAAATGTCTTCAAGCTGTCTTTACTTCTTTTAACTTAGAAAAGAAAAAAAAATACTTGTTAATTTGTACCCAAATGCCTCAGAGAATCACCAACAAGAAATAAAACAGAGTTAATAACTTATTTTGTGGGAGTGTCAATCCTTAATTAGAAAAAGTCAAGATTCTTAAAGCAACAGCTAAATTTTTAAGACTGATACGATCTTTAGTTTATCAAGCTGAATTCTGATGATCATTTATAATAAGAACAAAAGTTCTCTCTTCCTCCTTTACCACCGCACACTATTTTAATGGCAGGAAAAGGAAAAGAATAATGTATAGCATAACAGAAATAAAGTTCCAAGAAAAAGAAATTGGTCCATTAAGAGGTGGGGGTGGGGTGGGTGGAGGGATAGTACTATCAACAAGATTTTAGGTAGAACACATCCAAAAAGATTTTGGTATTACTATACAGTACTTCAAAATTAACACTACTCTAATTCCAAAAACACGGAAAAGCTGGTCAAATTCATTAATCATCTTATAAATCTGAATATTCTTTTTTACCTAGGAGTAAGATGCACTGAAGTCTATATAATACCATACCATCCTTCCAATTATCACAGATGAGGAATAAAAAAAAAAACAAAACACAAAACTTTCTTTTGAATTACAATTTAAGCATTTAGAGTTACCTAATAAAAGCACTAAAAAGAAAATTAGCATCCACAGTAACAAACCAGAATCTATAATCTATTTTTGACAGAAACTTTATTTTGTTTACTGGCCAGACTCAGAGCGGCTCAGGCTGGTAATCCCAGCATTTGGGAGGCCAAGGAGGGAGAACCACTTGAGGCTGGGAGTTAGAGACCAACCTGGGCAACTTAACACTAAAAAAAAAAAAAAAAAAGTTGGTATGGTGTTGCTCGCCTATAGTCCTAGCTACTCAGGAAACAGAGGCAAGAGGATCACTTGAGTCCAGAAGTTTAAGGTTACCGTGAGTAATAATTCCACCCCTGTACTCTAACCTGGGTGACTGAGTTACACCTTATCCCTTAAGACACACATACACATTTGTACGTTAAAATATATACACATTATGTACTGAACTTAAACTTAATAGGGTAAAATATCCCCAAATAGCATTTCCTGCACTTATATATACTGCATATATGTGTTAAAACATATGTAAGTTATAAAACATGTAAACTTTTAGTACTAAGAGCATAACAAAGCTGTGACTATTGTAATCTCTGGATTTAGTTAACAACTCTTGCAACATGTCTCTGAATTATATATTAATTTTCAATTATAACAGGACACTGAAAACAAGGCAATTTTATCTAATTACTCATTTTTAAAGCCTTAAGCCCAGAAACAACTTCTATACAAAGGACAAAATAAAAACAAACAAGGATACCTAATTCAGATCTACTGCTATCTTCCAATATATTGACCTTATATACCAGGAGTCCTCAAACTTTTTAAACAAGGGGCCAGTTCACTGTCCCTCAGACCATTGGAGGGCTGGACTGCGGGCTCCGGGATGAGTAGGCTGCTAAGGAGGACAGGCAGCAGCAGCAAAAACACCTGGCGGGCTGGATAAATGTCCTCGGAGGGCCACATGTGGCCCACGGGACATAGTTTGAAGATGCCTGTTATATACACTTTACCTTTAACACTAAATGCATTGCCAGAATTATGATCAATCGTTTAAATAACCACAGCTGTGTTTACTTCAATGTGTATGCTTCCAGATGTGTTCTGGTAAAAAAAAAAACAAAAAAAACCACCGTATTTTAAAAAGTCAGAATTAGAAATAACCAACAACAGATGCCTAATACATAAGTTTCTAGCAATTCTAAATTATTTAAGAGTCTGCCCCAAATATGTCTTTCTTCACACTTGCCAGTTGAGAATTACATCTGTGACTAGCTTTAAATTGCAAAAATCTGAACTATCGAAGATTCCACATGCTTCATCTAAGTATCACCTTGATATCTGAGTGTGAAAAGGGTTTTCTCTCAACTTGCAAAGTGTTTTTAACGCTTAACCCTTCCTATCCTCTAATATACATACCGAAATTTCTTAAAAGTATGAAGTATACAACTTTGTAAAAAGGTAAAGAGGAAACTACATCCATGCTAAATAGGATTACAAATATTCCGTTCTATACCAATTTTCAAGGGCATAAAATTTTCATTCCATAAACAAAGCTACTTTGAATATAAACAACCTAATCTCCAAACAAGTTTCTCAAATAAAAAGTGTGCATGTATATGCAGAAAATTACACAAAGAGAAAAATACAAAACTGTCCACTGACCATTATAGGTGAGTGTGAAAGAACAGCAACAGATGCAAACAGCATCATTCCACTTATAAAAAAATAATGAAGCCATACCAAATCTAAGGAATCTGACATAAATTTACATGTGTTCTTATTGAGGCTGTATAGAACAAATTAAAATTTTTTCTCACATGGCATCACTTCTCTACTATATATTCTCCAATAAGGACCAAAACTGTCAGTAGGGAACTTCAGAGTAAACAAAGAAAAACAAGTCATAAATGATGTTGCTACTCTGCCACTGGTGAGTTTTCAATTATTTGTGGCTAGAAACAGAAGCTGAAAAAAACTTACATAACTATTTATAACAATCTTTATATTAAAAAAAGGAATTCAGGGCGGCACCTGCGGCTCAGAGGAGTAGGGTGCCAGCCCCATATGCCGGAGGTGGTGGGTTCAAACCCAGCCCCGGCCAAAAACTACAAAAAAAAAGGGGGGGGGGAAATTCAAACATAACTTTTCATTAACAATTTAAGAAATATATATATGGTAGAATGGTTTACTTTGTGGATTCTCATTGATTGCTGCTTTTATTTTTCTTTAATTCTATAAATTTCACAAAGAAGTCATCACATTTTTTCCAAGCCCTCATTCCTTAAATTAATCTCAGTTCCATTGTCTGATCTCCCTCCACAGTACTCAGTCAAGGGTAGCAATCTGAACTCTTACCATGCATATTCTTAGACATGCAAGTGCAAAATCACAACACCTGATTTCTTATTCCCAACACCTCATACCAAACTATTTCCTAATGCTCCATCATGTCTATTTCCAATGTTACTCTGGCATCTTTCTCTTCACTTCCCTCCCAATAATAACCTATTTCAGAGGCCTTTAGTTCTCACCTGAGTTTTTTCAACAATTTGCTAATTACCTCCTCAACTCTAGTCTGTTTTTTCAAACTAATTCTGCTATAATGTTTCCTAAACAGCCTACAACCTAAAGGAAACTCACATATATGTTGTAATAAGCAAAACAAGCAAGTAAACAAAAATAAACAAAAAAGCCTACTTCTACTTAAGGATGAAGTCCACTGGTCATTCAGCTTAAATATTTCCATGATGAGGCTCCAAAATACCCATATTTTCAACTACTATTTCACAAGCAAATAAAATACATACACACACTTTTTCTCTAGCTCAGAGCATGTACTCCTTTTCCCTTCTTTTGAAAACCCTTTTCCTACATTTCTATATTCTGAAAGCTCTGTTCAAATGTTGCTACCTCATGTTGTACATAACTGGAAATAATTTCGCTTCTTTTCAATTGCTGTTGTACTTTACTATCAGTAGTTTAACACCCTGAAAAACCAAATGAAATCTTACCCAGAAAAAGCCCAATAGATAAGACAAAAGCAACATTGCTCTGTTTTAACTGGGGCTAGGGAGGAAAGTCTTGGAGTCAGACCCAAGGATAAGCATTAAGCATCTCCAAAATACTAAGGAGCTCCACCTTGGTGTGAAAACCACTGTCCCATATACATACTATTTAATAC